TTAATGTACTCTAATTGTTTTCAAAGCCTGGTCCATTAATAATTTAGTTCACAAATCATTGAACAAAGATTCGTAAACCCACAATTTCTATTAATATTAACTATAATACAAAAAAGTAACAAACCGAAGTCAATATCAGTGTTTGAACGTCATTAGAACTTTCTACTAATTATTTTATAATTGCCACACTTTTTTGCGAATTGAAATTTTTTTCGTACTTTTCCTGAAATTCGTCAGCCTTTTAAATTAACGAGTACATATATGATGGCTTCTCATATCTATTGCTGAAGCGATTCTTCCTTGTGATTATTATGTCAGCGTACGAATTTTTTTTATACATTTTTATAGATCTTTTTTATTGTGCGAATTTCGTTTAGCACGGCAATATGATTCTATTCAGATTTTTTTAAATTTTGATTTCATTTAAGGTAGCTTTCTAACTATTAGGTCATGTAGCGATCACTTTGATTGTTTACACTGGGGTAACTGTAGAGGGAACACGACATGTAACAAACACACACGCACTATTACCGACCCCAGCTATTTAGGCTGCCTATTCAGCCTATGTAACAGCCTTACTGAGTCCTTAAGACAGTGTGATAAAGATCGATGGAATGTAATTAGATAAATTTGATGGAATACACTCATTGACATTTTTTAAAATTCAGTTAATTATACTCTTGAGTGTTCAACAAAAACTGTACGCTACGATGTATCAGCAGATGTTTAATCGGCGACTGAAAATCAGTGTAGACAGTTCTCAGACACCAAAAAATATTTTGGTAAAGGAAACATAGCCCTATAATTTCCTTAGTCTTTGCTACTTTTGCTGTGTCGTTTTGTCTATCGCAGTGCTTTATCACAATAGCGCAAAGCTCCAAAACGCGCATCTACAAAGAGAGACAATATTTCTAAACAAGGCAACAATGACTCTATGGATTCCAATCTCACGCTCGCTTATTTCGAAGCGCACGCATTACAAATCCAGTTGGCGACTTGTTTTGTAAATATATATTAATAATTAAATTTGTTCAAAGAATTGGTTGCCCAAATTTAATTATTAAAATGCATTGTTACTCAGTGACATGGTCACCATTTGGATTCTTTAAGACTGCGTAATACATTCTCCGAGCGTAATTGCGTCCAACAAGGTGACGAGAATGGTGACAATTATATAAATATATATTTATTTTATATTATACATGTCGAGTATTAAGTTGGTTATAAAAGGAAAATTGACAGAAGAGATTCCCACCAACAAAGGTGTAAGACAGGGCTGTTGCATATCACCGACACTTTCAATATATACATGGACGACATGTTTAGAACATGGAAATTGAATATAGATCGAGGGATCTATTTTAGGAAAATATTTTTAAATTCTATTTTATATGCAGATGATAAAGTGATAATACAGGACACTAATGACAAAATGCAAATGGCAGTATATAAATTAAATCAAACTGCAATAGAATAAGGTTTTAAAATATCCAAAGAAAAAACTAAAACTATGGCATATAAAGGAAAATACCCTGTGAAAACAAATATTGTGATAGAAGGAAAGAGTATAGAACAGGCAAATATCTAGGATGCCACATCTCGTTTGAAAGAGTTATAGATTTAGATAAAAAATTTAATAAATTTAGAAATATATGCGGTAAAATACACATCTAAAAAATAAAACTGGGATAGAAACAAGAACAAAACTTCTTCAACACAGTAGCTCTGCCAGTGTTAATGTATGGAGATGAAGCAAGAGTAACATCAAAAACAGATAACTCTAAAATCCAGGCAGCTGAAATGAAATGTCTACGAAGCACTCTAGGTTATAATATCCTAGATAAAAAGAAAAGCACAGAGATAAGAAATCAACTGGGGGTCGAACCACTGCTGGAGAAAGTGGAAAGAAATCAGAAAAGATGGTATGAACATCTCATACGACTGCCCGACTACCACCACTCGCAGTGGACTACAGATGCAGAGGGAGAAGAGATATAGGAAGGCCCAGGAGGAAATGCGCACCGGAACAGGTTCTTGAACCTAACCCTTGAAGTGCAGAAGAAGACGATTATACGTGTCATTCCCATAGACGCTTCGCAACGCGGCAAAAGACTCCTCTGTGAATCCGCGGGCAGGGCGCGCCGCGTGGCGCGAGCCGCTGGCGACGAGCGCCGGGCGGCTGCTCGAAAGAGCCACGGGAAAGGTCAATCTTGGCGCGCAGGCGGCGGCTGAGTCAGGCGACAGACAGGCTGCCAAGCTCCGCCCCAGTGGCACACGCGGCGTCCGCCGAAAGCGGCCAAATGGAGGTTGTTAAACGCGCGTGTGGACGTTCCCCACACGCGGTGCAAACGGGTTGTCATAGTCCAGCGTTGTGCAAACGATGGAAACGAGCTACGACTCGTTTTTAAATGAGGTACAGCATGTTTAACTGTGTCTATCGTGATCTATCGGTAGTATCACTAGTAGCAGTAATATTGACGAACAACGTTAGAATGGGTACAACCGTTGTAGAATTTTGTATTTCACCGCTGAAAAAAAAGTTTTAACTCTAGCATTATGTACACGTGTATATGTTCTTTGTGTAATGTATATGAGAATGTGTTGCCTTGATACGCAGTCGAATACACATTAAATCATGAAAGTTATGAATCTTGTTAATACTTCAGTCATTCACCATTACATATATTACATCTCAAGGTAAACTAAGTTCTATAACGAGTTTAGACAACACGAATTATGTCCTTGTTTGATTTTCTAATATTTCTTAATATTTTCTTCTGCCTTCTTTTACACTCTTTTAGTATGATATTTACACTCTATTGGCTTGGAGCTGTTTTGTCGTTCGATAAATATATTCGAGGAATCGTTGTTCTTGTAATGCATGGATTTTGCAGAACCGCTTCCACGACTTTGACTATTTCATATTTAAAATTATTTAACCTACACACTTGAAGAACCTAAATTTCTTCCGCTTGTCATGTCAAACCATGTATACAAATATAGAGACACTGAATTATATCTAAGGACAGGTACGGTGTTATATTTTATTTAACAATATTTTAACCTATTTTTATGGAAAAAATAAAAGGGACCTAATCTAAAAAATAGTATTTCATTTATAATTTTGTAAATAGTAGATTGGAGCCAACGTTTTGATCCTTATTGGGATCTTATTCATGAGATGCATGCAAATTTTATAACATTTGCTACTCAAATCTATATATAAAACTAAAAATACCTAATTAGTTACATCAAATCTAATATATAAAATATGAAAGTATCGTTGGTCATTGACAAACTCTTTTAGAAAACAATGTCATACCTACAACTATAAAAGTAAGTAAAGATAGGGAACACGTAATAATCGATTATCCATCCACTACCGCACGTGTTTACGTTAAAGAGCGCTGATAACATCTAAATTGGGTTAAGATATTTTACATCAAGTTACGGGTACGTGGACAACTTGATATAGTACCATGAATAAATTACAATTAATACGTACGCAGCACGTAATTTATTATCATCAACTGTAAATAACTCTGATGTTGAAATCGCGGATGAAGTGTTAGACCAACGTTTGAAATATTCCCCCAAAGAAATCCTCACCAAAATCCTCACAATTTAATGAATCCCACCAGTCGTCAGGCCTGCGCTTCCGTCTAACCACGCAAATTCTGCCATACTCATTTCACCATCTAGCGGAGAGAGAAGGCATCACTCCCACGACTAAACAGGTGATTTCAATGTATCTCAGAAGTTAATTTTAGGCTTGAGTCACGCAGTAAATTTCCAACATGGGACAGCCGGCTTTACCTACCTAAGGAAGTCGAACGAAGAATTTTTTTGCTCGTAAAAATCCACGGCATTGAACACGTAAACGTGGGTATAACTGCCCGGTAAGCTAACCGTTATCCACGAAAGCCGACAGTACTGTGCTATGTATTACATTTTGAACATATATTCGCTTGTCATTGAACGGTAATTCACGGTTAATATCTGCGGCATCTCTAAGTATTCAAACCAGTGAATTTTCAAAACAATCAAGTCTAAAATATATGTATTGTAGATGTGTTGTTTGAATAGAGTATTACACGCTCATCAATGTTCTGTAAAAACTATTGTCGTTTCAAAACTATCCGAAATGTATCTTTAAGTCTGCTGTGTTGCAACAACAGAAAGCCTTCGGCCTGGAGCCTCCCGTGACGTCGCCGGCAGCGGTGCCAACCTCGCCCGAGCCCTTTAATCCGGCTGTAAATATGGCATTGGATCGGAACGGCCGCGGCGTCCCCAGATTGACCGCCGCGGTCGGCCAAGACAGGGGTTCCCAGGGGGCCGAGGCGGCCGGCCGGCGGCCGGGCCGAAACGTCCCTCTGCGGTGGGCCCGGGGCCGCCGGAAGGACAACCGGAGACGTCGCGACGGCCGGCGGAAGCACTGAGCGCGCGCTCCCGCCGGACCTAAGTAAGCCCGCCCGGGAGCCCTAACACCTGTTCGCGTGCCGTAAATAATGCCAACGTCAGGCAGCAGGCGGCTTGAGGCTGGTCCGCAGCGGCGGCGGTCCTGGGGACGGCGGGAATCCGCGGGTACGCCCCCGGGTCGTAGGAGACGGGAGGGGGGGTCGTCGGTGAGGCCAGCGGGGGCTGGAGGTGTGGCGAAAACGTCGGGGACTGTTTTAAGGGGTTGACAGCCGGAAGTGATAGGGAAAGGCGCTGGAAGTTAAAAGGGGTGGGGTGTCCAAAAGACGAAGAAAATTCCAGACCCCGGAAGGTTGTTGGGGGAGCGAGCGATGGGCTGTTGGCGGGAAGTTTGGGAGGCGGTGAGCGCCACGTTGACGGCTGTCGAATAGAAGGCGTGCGAATGCGGGAGGATAGCAAAAGACGTTTGGGGCGATGGGAAGGGGCGGTGGGGAGGCAGTGGAGAGGGCGGTGGGCAAGCGATGGTAAAGGGGCAGCGATGGTAAGGTAAGGCGGCGGAGCAGCGAATGGGTGGTGGAAGCGAAATGGGTGCAACGCGCGAGGCGCGCGCCCAAGGGCGGCGCGGGGGCCGGCGCGGGGGCGGCCGCGGGGGCGGCGCGGGGGGCCGCGGGGGGCGGCCGCGGGGGCGGCGCGGGGGGCGGCGAGGGGGCGGCTTGGAGCGACCGCAAGCGGGGGTGGCGGGGGCGGCTCGTCCAGTGGCCTTCGGCGCCACCGCCGCCGTTGTGGATATCGTCTCGCGCAACGTTCGCTCGCCGACCGCTGGTTTATTAATGCCGCCGCCCGTGATATAATTGACGGGAAGCGGTTGATAGCTCGCCGCAGAGAGCGGCCAGTGAATGACGCATGTTCTGGAAGATTCGATGACATAATACGCAACGTATTCCTATTGCCAAAAGAAGCGGAAAGAAGATCTAGAAAACTGATTGAATTACCGATGAAAGACACATGATTCGTTACTCTTATTACAAATTAAATATTTAACTTAATTTTAGAAACTTTACTTATCATTAAAATAAAACTTAAGTGCCGTGAAAAACGTGCTATAATACTCGAAAATATTTGATTTGATACTTTTTAATTTTTCGAAATGTATTTCCTGCGGTACCGTTCACATAAACGCGAGAGTTAAATAGTCAGTGTCTCAGTATAGAATTAAAATATTGAATTCCGAACAGGCGTTTTTTTGTATGTCTACCAAACATTCATTTTTGTTTGTACTGTGTTTGAGTGACTTTTAAGCACACATTTTAAAGAACAAAATCAGTCTTAGAGTGTGCATTCAGCGCGATATGGTTGTGTCAAACTCAATTCTTTGTATCCTTTGGTCAAATAAATAAAATACGTGGTGTGTCATACAATCAGATGGCACACATAATCACCCAATACATTGGACGTATTTTCAAAAGTACGCATATGGAAAAACTGCGTACTATAATTAGTTTATACTTAATGTTATTAGTGTCACATGAACATCGTAATGGTGCAATTATGATTATGATAAATCAAATGTATAGCCTTCAAATATTCATCTACCACGATTATAAATATATTTCATTTTATGTTAATCTCCACATCCGCATTGATTAATAGATCGAAGACATGTTGCGCTAAGCGCATTGGGATTGTTTCATGCGATGCAATTGAGATTGTTTCATTTCTTTTTATTGTTTCAAACGTTTCGTGTTGGGCGAAAGTGAATAGCAAAGGCTTGTTTAAAATGTCTGAATAGAACTCGGATAATATTCCGACAGAAATAGAGGAGCCAGCAAGAATAGCTTCGCTTCCCCCCTCCCCCAAAAAAAAACAACGAAAGATGTCTATTAACGAACGTTTGCCAAATTTGTAGGTTGGTGCAACGACAAGAATATGAAGAAGATAAGCCATGAAAAATTACTTCTCTCATATATTTTGAAAACTTGGCTAAAATGTACTGTAGACCTACTACCGTGTGATTATTTTTATTTCATGATAAGTTTCACTTATTTCATCATACGTTCAATGTTAAAACTGAAAAAAAAATTAAATAATTTTTATCTCACAATTTGTTCTATTTAGAACATTTGATTTCATATATATGAAAATATAGATGACGTAACAAAACCTCTGATTTGACTTCTGCTGGTGTTAACGTAAAATGTCGTAAAAGTGTTCCAGTTAATATTTATAATGAGTGATTTGAGTTAAAGAGAAATATTCTACAAATGCCATGTTAAATATTTATAAGAAGTAATTTGTTTCAAATGAATTTAATAATAAATACGTTTATCTTCAAACAACACTTTTCTTTTGCCCTAGAAAAGGTGTTATAATCTAATCATAACGTAACTAGTGCCATTATGAAGTCTATAAGAGCACTAGTTGCAATATGAAGCTCCTTACAGCACCCGCTTGAGTACGCCAAACGGACATTATGGCATCGTCGTAGGTAAAATTAATCATTTATTAAATATATTAAAATTAGAACATGTTTTAAAATACCAGTATTTAAAAATTACAATAATATATAAATGATCATAGAAAAAATGAAAATAAATATCAATTTGAGTTTTGCTAATTTATTACCACCTTCAACCTGAAAGAAACAAGTGAAACTTTCTAATTTAAACTGAATCAAATTCAGTTTTCGGTCTCTGCTTTGGCGTGTACATTTCATATTTGGCAAAGGTAATCCAACGCTGTTTCATCGTGGCCATATAAAATATTAGATTTTGGGTAAACTTCAAAGCAAAACGATATTCATTCACAAAATAGATGTATTCTGCTCAATAACGTCACAGTGACAAATGTATGGATGGCTGTACCCGCGGGAACGTGAAATTCTCTATGAAAATCTCCAGTGCAGCAAGAAATCGCAATTCCCGCGCGGGACATTAATACTAATTAGGGCGGCCGTTGCGCCGAAGTATTGTATGAGCGCAACTCTAATCCGTTTTCGCGCGAATCATCAATCATTTCCCGCGTAATTGATACTTCACGCACCGTTTCGGCCGGCAGCGGCAGCGACAGGCCGCGAGCGAGGGATAAAGTTTGGAACGGGGGCGGGGCGGGGCGGGGCGGGGTTGGCTGCAGCCCTGGAGAGCGGGGACTGCCTGCGACGGCACAGAACGCCGAGAGAGAGATGGCAGCCCAGGGGGCGCGATAACAGGACGGATAATAAGGAGATGGATGCCACCTATGTGGTAGCAGGCATTTGGTTGAGCGCTGGAGCAAGATAGGAACTAGCCCTGATCAACCGCTATACACAAATAGACAGGAACAAAGAGGACAGTGAGGAGGTGGGAGGTAGAGAGTAAGAGGGAAGAGGAAGAGAGAGGGAGAGAGAAATAAAACTGCATTTGCAAATGGCGTTTTGAGAAGTATTCTCCCTCACTTTATCCAAGTCACTAAAAATGCATCCTATGGATACGACATAGAACCATACTCAGGGTGTGTTTCAATGTCGATAAAAACTTTGTATGAAATCGTAAAACGTTCACATGATGTTTGAATACACGGAGAACTATGGATAATCTTTATATCATTGGTCTTATTTTTCTAAGATACGGTAGATCGCTCACGGAGTATTACTGTAGTTTTTTTTCCTTTGACCGCATCGAAGTCAACGTAATTTATTTTTTGAGAGAAACTTTAATGCATTATAACACTATTTATCAATATAATATTGATAATGAGGCCGGTCACTGTTTACTAACTTAGAATATTCCCCAGTAGCATCAAGATATTTCATACTTCGAAAAGCCAATAACGAGTTTTCTACTTTACCATTGGCGCAGCTCACAGTATTAATTTTCTCGCATTATTTCTGATTTTTGAAATTTCCAAGAATTTACAGAGTCAAATGAAAACGAGACATTTTTAAGCATCCGAGAAAAAAATAAGAAAAAAAATGAGCAGTTTTGAGAAAAAACAATTGCGTTTAATTCAAAGAAAAATTACGTGAATATTTCTCTTTCAACCCCAAATCTTTGAAATAAATGTTGATGCACTTATTTAAATCTCTAACTTTTAAGAAAATATTAAATTACTATTATTACAACATTACATACTTTTTCGCATTATTTGTAACTTATACAATTTTCGGAAATTCTCGCGTAAAATAGGACCTGCGTCAATTCTATAACGTACTTTACGTATTCTAATAATATTTTGAAAAATTATTTATTATCTAATTATATTTTGAAAAATATGCATGGTCTTATTTACATATCTCTTTCTGAAGAAAATATTTTATTACGAAGTAGCTCAAAATTCAATATTGCAGTTGCAGAAAATAATTTCTCCACAGGATGGAAACAGAGTTTGAAGCAGAAATCTAGAGCTTTACCTAGCTGAAGACAAGGAAATTACCAATTACCAGAAAATCTGCCCCATTCCTTAGCTCTACTACTTTGTGCATGTCTTTGAGTGTGTCGCGAAGAGGCGCTGGGGAGTGGGCGGGGGGGGGGAGAACGAACGGCGGGGGTGGGGGTGTGGGGCGTGACGGATGACCGTGAGGCTGCGTGGAGCGCGACAGCCGCCGCCGCCTCCGCGCACCTGCGCCTCGAACCCACGCCTCGCCCCGCCGCCGCCGCTCTGCTCGGGCCACGCGCCGGGGAAACTTCAGCGCAAAGTGGCGTGTAGACGCTCTTTTCATCTATCATCGGAAACCAGGGGCGGATCCACAGACGAATTTTGGGTGGGGAAATTCAAAATGTTTTGATAGAAGGTGTCATAATACAGATTTTGTAAAACGTCCTAGGCTACACTAGCTCATGCTGCAATACGATTTTCTTCGTTTTAATTATTATCCTAAATAGTTTTGCTTGAAAGTTTCGTAACAAATTAAAAATATTAGACACTAAAAAATTTTAAGGGAAGGGGAATTTCCCTCCCTTTTCTCCCCGTATATCATCGGCTGTTGGAAACGAAACTGAAACAACTGAAAAGTATTATATATGCACTATATGGAAAAACGAAAACCCAATAATACTGTAGGTCTTTACTTCTTATTCCCCTAGTACTTATGGGTTGAGAGAATTAACACGTTTCTGAAAAAGCATTTCAAAAGGTTTTACACATTCGAAGATTGATGTTCCTGTATAAATGAATGTTTCAATGACCTACTAGAAGAAACATTCCTCTCCCCTTTAACATAAAAACGTAACGCTTTACATATATAACGACTAAAAATGTTTTGCAAACTGACGTGTGTCAGACGATTGCTGGAAATTGCGTTTATGTACACTCACTGTTCTTTGCACGTTAAAAAACATTCTTTGCGGCGTACTACAAGCGCGCACTCAGAGCACGCTACGAAACGACGTCTGTTGTCTATTGATCGATACGACAACAAAACATAATGAAACCAAACGATTGAACGACAATAGAACATAATGAAAGCGATGAACGAACAAATGACGGCAGATAAGCGTACATTATATTAATTTTAAGATAACGAAATGTACTCTTTATACTGTAAAAGTAGCTACAAAGATCATGTGAATACACATCTAGGGCAAAATATCATTCATTTAAAGGAAAAAACATCATTTTTTGAGTAGAGAGCTCAAACTGATTTCTGATCGAAACATTTTGTGTTTTATATTTGGACTCTTTTTGTGTTTTATATTTATATCTCTCGGACTCTCTATCTCTCGGACTCTCTATCTCTCGGACTCTCTATCTCTCGGACTCTGTACCTCTCGGACTCTGTACCTCTCGGACTCTGTACCTCTCGGACTCTGTACCAGTCGGACTCTGTACC